TGAAACCTTTATAAATGTCACTCTTTTTGAATGACCATTGAAGTGTCATGAGAAAAAAAGTTATTTGTTATAAGAATAAATTTCTAAATTTTCAGGAAGGTGGTTTACATTTAAAAACAGATATACTTCACAGCCACAACTGACAGTCAATTGCACCCACTAAAAATAATAACAAATTAAAGCTGTACGCATTAAAACTGTAGGCACCAGCACAGCGTCTTCTTAACTCAGTACCTAAGGTCCAACCAGTCGTAAAACGAACAGTGACTGTCAAGTATCACCAGAAAATGAAACGGCTCGACCATTTCTCAGTACTTTTCATTATCACAAACAACAAATTTATAAATCTATAGTCCAAAGATCAAATTCATTGGCGAATTTCAAAAAATGAAAAAAAAGCTTCACAGTATTACCTTAAAAACTTTCTTTCCCAATTTTTCTTTTCATTTTCGCCACCAGTTGTCAATTACAGAAACAAAAAATTGTTAACTTCTTTGGGAATTGTAGCAGCAAAAAAATATAAAAAAGATTTTTCAGAATGCAAGATGTGAACTCCAAAATTGAACATTGCTACTGATTATTCAGCTCTACGTCACTGCTCTTCTAGACAAAACGATAACATTCTTTCTCCTCTTCTGTTTATTGCCCGAGCACTTAGATTAGGCCATAATCCAAATAAAATGTAAACCTCAACTCACTCTGTAACAGAAAAACACACTTAAATTTTTTTTAGACTTAGTATGCAGAACACAGCTCCTTGCATTTCATAGACACTTCAAGTGTCTAGCTAACTCTTGCAAATTCATTTCCATTAACTTCTGAAAAGCCTCCGACTCCAAAAATAGAATTTTGATGACACCACTAGCTGAAGCAAGCGCTGCCTTCTTCAAACACATAGTATACGAATTCAAATGTCAACCAAACAAAAGAATTTGACGACGTATAATAAAGCAAACTCCCGTGTTCTATAGAGCTAAATTCATAATGCAGTCATACCCTACACTATGTCACCTATAACGCCCAACAAACAGCTTCTGATGCGAGTGTGACCTTAAGTTGCGTCCGCGGCACCTGTTCAGGCCGAAAATACGCAACTTTGCCTTCCGGAAATTTCAATACGACCCTCCCCACCCGTACTAGCATGCCAAAACATATCCGTATCTCATACCAAGATGTTCCAAGTATAATTTCAGCGTCAGCTAACATTTTCAGACCATATTGTAATCCTTCCCAAACAAACCCAGCTTAATCACATTATTTAAATGTTCACCAAATATTCAGCATAAGACAACGAATATTGCCAAGAAAACAGAAAAGCCCAGAGAACTGGAACGATTTGGTTATGAACCAATATACTCGACTAAACACTGAAATTTGAACCATGGTAAAGCAACAATACTAAAACAAAACTTCAGACTCAACAAAATAGATATCTGCAGATATGATAAAAAGCACGCTGTAAACACATTTATTCTGAAATAACGCTGGGATAAAAAATGAAGTAGACAGTGAAAGTCGAACTGAAAAGTTCAATGAAACATAGTAATTTACACGAGTTGAACAGTAGTTCAGATATGATACGGATAAAACATGTCGAAACATCTTCTTTGAAAACTACCATCGGGTCCGATAAAGGATAGAAAACAAATCACCCAGCGTTTCTGTTTACAGGTATAAAACTGTTCTACAGAATACCAGAAGAATGAGGTCTAAATCACGGCCACTTAATAAAAACAAATCCGAAACGGAGTAAACAGAACAAGAACGCTCATGACTGAGATCAGAACAGGCCCGTCGCGAAGAAATTATCCTGACAACGTTCGCAACCTTATCTGCCACCAAATTCCAACCTCTCTTTTGGTTCCATAGTAGAGATTGAATTCCCTCTGATAACCACCATCCCTAATGGATTTTGAGTGCCATCCTACAAATTTCAATTCCTTCGACATCTTCAATCAAAATGAAAAACCTTGAGAATAATATGACGAACAAGGCTTCATCGGCCAACAAGAAATAAAACTAACCTTAAGATGTTCAACTGCTTCTTCAACAACAATATTCATAAACGGGTCAAACCCGCGTAATATACCTGAAACCTTTCGATTACCATTCAACTTCAAGTCCATCTGCTTGTCCATATACCTCTTCAGCTCAGGTGGGTGTGTTTTGCTCATTGTTCAAACCAACAAGCTGCTTGACTAAATTCTGAAAAAAATTACAATCTCAGCTAAAATGCGATACGACTACAACAGCAACGAAACAACTCACCGAGAAAAACAATAAATCCCAGGTATAATTTATAATAGAATAAAACCAGAAACTACAGTAACGATTATGTGGAAGGTTTCCATATATTTTGCGACGTCCAAAGATGCAATTTCCGAATGAAAAATTCTAAGGTCGAAAACAAAAAGTTGTGCGATTATAAAAATTTATGGCATAACTCTCTCTGATATTCTAGGATTACCCTCCGAATTCCAAATTTCTCCAAATTTCTTGCGCCTAAACTCTCATATTTCCAAATCCCACTTAAAAGAAAATTTCATGCGTGACTCTACTATAAATCGCTTGCTGCTTCTGAAAAAAACTTCACGACAAAGAAAACTCTTCCCCTTAAACCTTCCACCCCAACCAACATTAA